TCATCTCATTACTGCTGTGTGGTTGTGAACCTCCCGTTTTCGTGTAGTGATGCAAAAGGGCGAAAGTTTGTGATGGAAGTTAGTGACTGGTTTTGAAAGGTATCTATCTGTTGTGCTTCTAAGATGTTTACTGACATCTTTAAAAAAAGCTGCAGTACAGGAGGAAGACTGAGAGCTGAGGGAACGTGAGAGAGATGTATTTTTATACACAGCTCGCCTCCCTTCTGTATGAAGATGTTTCATGCATTTGGTGGTGGTTTATACTTGACTTTTCAGACTGATTAGCTTTTTTATAGCCTGCTCTCCTGAAATGTAAAGCACCAAGTTGCTTCTTTCAAGTAAAGATGTTCCATGTCAAAACTTATTTTTAATTCTAAATAGGGTTTTTTTCCTAAGGCAAATTATTGGTATTTTTTCCCTTCATCCATAGACATAGAGAAATAAAACCAGCAGGTATCTCCATAGATGAAAATGGAAAAAGAAGTGATTTAAAGAATTGCTAAATGCCATAATTTGGTTGCGGGCATTGAATTTTTTTATGACAGGATTCTAGATTTAGAGAATGAAGTAGGGTTTTCTTATTCTTTTATATTTGACATCTGTAACTTCAAAAATGTTCATAAAATAGGAAAAATTCATTCCCTTCTGAGATGAGAAATCAGAATTTGATGGGCACCTTTAAGAGGAATCATTTAAGCAATCATTTCTGTTACTTAGTTTCAAAAAGGAAAAGACATAGTTGTGAAGTTGGGAGAATTACATCATCTGTGTCCTGCAGTGGGTTCCTGTGCTTAGTTTGTGTGAGATATTACTTAAACCTTCTTTGTCTCTGGTTTCTCTAAAACATTAGGAATATCTTCTGATCACTTCAGAAGGCTTTATCAGCCACAAAAGACTTGGAGCGAAACAAGAAAATTTCCATTGAGACAAAAATGCAGGGGTGGACCTTAGTTCCCTTGAGTCTGGACAAGAATTCCTAGAATTCAAGAGGTACAAATGTGTTTTCATTCAAAACCACCCCAACAATGCAGGCTTGGCTGCAAAAGAGTTTAAGAACTGCTGAAAATAATGCTGTTCTCAGGCTTTCCTCCCTTCAGGGAAGTTGAAAGGTTACTGAGCAGAGAAGAGATCCTACAAGGCAGCAGTGGCCACAGTCCAAAAGTGAGTGGGACTACTTTGGCACAGCTGGAGCAGAGCTATAACCCAAGCTCAGGAAATCGTCCTGAGCAAGGAATGCCATACAGACACAGTGGGAACAATTATAGTTGGGCTAGGCCTTTCCCCTCTACAGAGGGAAGTTGTTTACCCCCATCACTTGTCTGAATGCCTCAGGTGGGGCACATCCATGTTCCCTTCTGCAATGGACAACCAGGAGTGAAGGAACAGTAGGTGGATCAGGTTAAGAAGGAAGGATAGGGTATTATCAGGAAGCCAGTATGAGCAGGATGGGCAAAACTTGTTTTTGCCTTGGCTGTGGAGTGGATACCAGAGTGGGGGGCAAGTCAGGATCTGGCAGGAATTTCAAAGCTAAAGGTATGTCTTCTCTTTTCACCTGCCCTCAGAGCATGGCCCTTCCTGGGCCCAGAGCAGGTGGCAGATGCTGGTGCTGCGATGGGCAGGCAGCTGGGCTGGGTACAGGAGGCCTTGCGGGGCAGGCAGGACTGCTGGGCCCCTGGCAGCTGCTGGGAGAGGCAGCACAGGCAAGGTGAAACAGTCAGCTTCCCTCCTTGCACCTCTCTGTGCTGCTCAAACAGTCAGGAGTCACTGTTCACACACAATGCTTGTCATGTTGGTATCCTTGACTCAGTACTAGGAGCTTGAGGGTAGTTTTGTCGTTTCATGTTTGTTCACCTCTTCCCTCTACTGTGCTCCCTCCGCACTGATCATCTGCAGTGGTTTGAACTACTGCTGCAAAGGAGGATTAACTTTCATTTAAGAAGATGGAAACTCATAATTTAAATCTCTTTTATTGTTCATCATATCCTCAAAACTGCAGACGTTCAGTTATTTAAACATGGGGAGAGTGTGAGCGTCCTCAGCATCTTTAAATCCAGTCAGGAAGGTATTTCAAAGACTAATGTTTGGACTACATCTAGCAAGGGGAAAGAGCTGTCACTCAGCACAGATCTGTTTATAAATACTGTTCTCCAGAAGACAACTGACAATTGTAATGGGGCTAATTCTTCTACCAGCACTGGCATAACACCATCAGGGCTGTCTGGCGCTGCACAGGATATTTCTTCCATGAAAGAAAACTAATCCTTAGCAAGACGGTTTTAGTGTGAATTATGTTCCTTGAAGTGCTATTACAGCAAGTAAAACAAGTGGCATCATTTCTCAGTGTTTTAAAATAAGCTACCCTGAAATCAATATGGATTTATTCCTTGTCTCTTTCCACAGTATCTAGAAGGATTTTTCCATTCCTCTTTCTGACAAAAATGTCTTCATTTAATGCATATTATGTATTGCACCTGCTGTAAAACAGAATTTATATTTGATTGACTCTCTTGAACCCCAGTCCTGCCCCCAAGCAATTGCAGCTGACTCAGTGGTGATGAATAGTGCCTCTCATGGATCTAGAGCTAACGCTGATGCTAGGCTTAACAGATTCTGTTTTTCTCTAAATGATGGTTTAACTTCCTTTCTCATATGAAAGTGTGATTTCTATTCATATTTCTTTCATTTATAATTTGAGTAATGCCTGACTTTTTTCTTTAATGTACATGAAGTCTTGTCTTGTGTGGTTGTGTAAGATGTCCAAAGGCTGCATACAGTGGCTTGGATTTTTCAGAACGTTATGATTTGTAGTTTAAATATCAGAAGTCCAATTTGGTTGTAGTGGGAGTTGTATGAGAAGATTATGACCTTACTTATGTTTTTCCATACCAGAAGCAAATACTTTCCAAAGCAGCTGGGGAGGCAGAGTGCAAGCTTGTTTACTTTAAGTGGCATCTCCATAGTTCCAAACCCCTTATCTAGACTCTTCATGGGCTGTTACTTGGTAATTAAAAACCAGAGTATGGGTCAGCTACTTCTGCTTTCAGTGTGGGATAAATGCATGTTTTGGAGCAACTTAATGTGGCATGACTTTTACGACAGCAGTTTCTTTCGGCAGGACTTTGGGGCAACTTTGGTCCTGAAATGGAAGCTTCACTAAGCTTCCATTTGCTCTGGAGCAAAACAAAATGTTTTGGTTGTGGAAGTGTCACTGGGTTCTGGGTTCTCTTGAAGGCTATAGCAACTCTTTCAGAGCCTTATTGCCAAGAAACAGCTCAGAGCCAGCCCAACAGCAGCGCATTTGTTAGAGAGAAGTCCCTGTCTGAATGGCGGGTACTCAGCTGGCTCACATAAATAAGAACAGTTGTAACAGAGCAGGGAGTCTTTTTGTACTGCCTATTGCTCTTGCAATAACCTGATATGCAGTTACTTGCTAACAGAAATGTTAAAACTATTTCTGATTATCTGTACCAAATAACTGCCTGTTAACCAACACCAGTGTATCAGAAGTGAATCTGGATTCACTCAAGGTGGTTGTCAAATCCAAATCTCAGGCTCTCAGGAGAGTTGCTTGCTACAGGATGAGATGCAGATGCTATCACTAGCCCACTGACACTTCATCAGTATTAAACCTTGCACTACAGGTGGTGAGATTGGCTGTTGTGCTAAAACCAGAGGATTATTTGGAAAAGGGGAGAGGAATTGATGGCAGGTTTTACAGCTGCAACATAGCTGAATTTTATACTTTTTCACACTGTCATAGTATTTCACTGTATCTTTGTATCTAAGTTTAGGTAAGCAGGTGGAGAGCTACAGCTGCTGATAGCTGTGGTTTAAGGTTTGAGCAGTGCAGTGTAAGAATTCAGAACAAACTTTGCTGTATATCAGGTGTTTAGTTATAATTTTTAAGCTTCTAAAGCCTACACCATTTAGGTTCAGGTTTTTTTCTCTGAGATAGTAGCTAATCAAACTCATTTTTGTGGCAGATTTAAGTGCCTTGGTGCCTATCTCCTATATCCAGTTATACTGACAGTGTGGACAGCTCATGTTTGTAGTTGGCTGAAGTGCCCTTACCTGGTGTGCAGAGCAGGGCAGGGACATGCTCATGTACTGCCTCTGTTCATTATCATTGTCTCAGAGTGCTGAGCACTGAGGCATATTTAAAAATAGAAAGGTTCTACAGGCAGTTGTTTTCTTGTCCAGCTCTCATTGATGACTGACTGAGCCTGGATGAGCTGCTGAAACATAAGATCACAAAAGAGAATCCTGATGTGCCTTCTCTCATCAAGGCTGGGCCCCTCCAAGCAGATTTGCTCCAGAAGGGATAGAGAAAATGCTTTGAGCCATTGACTCACATCTGAAAATTGGTTTGGCAGGCATCAAATAGCAAACTTCCTTCCCACTTCCTTTATCTGCACTGTGACTGAGCAGCCCCTGGGGAAGTGTTCAGTTATATCAGTATATGGCAGAGCTCCCTCTCACCACAGCAGATGTCTGCATGTGCATTAAAAATGAGAGGGGATGGTCTCCAGCTCTGAAATATAAGGCCCCACAGGGGACAGAGGAAAGGCAAAACCAAATGGTCAGAGATCAGAACCTGTGCAGGAGGGTGTGCAGTGGTACCTGTAAACAGATGTCACTGTCAGAGGTCTGCTGATTTCTCCTGAACAAGCAACTTTCTCTCAATGTACAGCACCTGAAACAAGTTTGGGGATGGGTCTTCTCTCAGCAGAGTCTACTGCAAAGTGAATGAGTCTGTGTTTTCTTCCTGACTATTCAAAACAGACTGGACTGAATCACGAAATATTTTGCAAGTAAGAACGCATATTTTGACTAATGAAAGCATTTACAGGTAGACACAGAATTAGTGCTCACTACTGATCTGGAAGCAGGTGAAGTCTTAAAGAATTCAAGAACAGAATTGTTGGTTCTGAACTGATGCTACTCTTAGCTGGTACCAAGAAAATTTAAAATTTAAAACAAACACACAAGAATTATTCAAATTTTTAATGCGAGTTTCTTTTTATTTTGAATTAATCAAATTTTTATTCTTCAGTAAGAGTATTTACAATGCCTTGCAAAAGCAGTGCAAAACCACAGTGTGTTGAGCTTACCCTGGGCTATGATTTAAGTCACGAGTACAAACTCAGTGCAGAGGTAGCTTGGGCTATAATTACTCCTACCCAGCCCCTCCTTTTGGTCCGACCTACAGGCACCTGTGTGTTCCAGTTGCTCTTTGCATGGTGCCATCCCAGGAGTCTGGCACAGAGGAGCTGAGCTTCTTCACAGCCAGGAAGCTGCTTAACAGCCCAGGCTGGAAGAGAAAGGCAGCCAGCAGCAGGCAATGGGCTCGTTTAAAGGTACTGTAGCTCACTGATGCCAATTACCTGATGCACTCATGCAAGTTAGGTCTTGCTAGGCTGCTCCCCATTCCTTATGTGAGGAACTCCATGCTTACAGCAACTCAAGTTTTACTGCTGTCATGAAAAAAAAAAAAAAAAAAAAAAAAAAACCTTTCATAACAATTAAACTGTTGTTAGTTACATTGTAAGGTCTATATTTTAATCTCAAAGAGTCAGGAATACTAAACAACACATTTTAGGAGATAGCCAAGTAATCTTCCTGCTACTTTCTTAGCCTAGCTGAACAAAAGAAAAACAAACCCCAACCCAAAATCAGTAGGTCCCCATGGCAGCATCTCATGGAGATATACTGCATTTTTCTTGCTGTCCTCTCTCATGTCTGGTCAGTAATAAGATCTAATTACATGGATTACAGTAGAGTTGGTAAGCCCTGTACATGTGCTAAGCTAAAAGTAATTACCCACCCTGCTGTTTGTCAGGGAAGTTATTCCCTTTTATTTTTCCAAAGTTGCTCTTTCTCTACTTTCCCCACAAATTGCAGAATATCCTTAGCAAGAAGTTCAGGTTCCTCCAAAGCTGCGAAATGGCCACCTTGAGGCATGAAATGGAAGGAAACTATATTGGTGTATTTCTTCTGGGCCCAAGCCTGAGGTGTGTGCATGATTTCATTAGGGAAGGAGGCAATGCCAGTAGGTACTTGTACTGTGAGTCTGAGAGAGGAGAGAAAATAGTTTTAATCTTTCAAACACTTAAATCTGCAAGAAGTGAAAAGTCAAAAAAAATGTTGTTCTTGAACAGCTGGGTACACTGTTGTTAGACAATTAAAATTTGACTTCCAGATCCTAAAATTGAAGGCAACACCTTAATTACTGAAGAAAAAAAAAATCATTTTTTGGCACACATTTATATTAAGGCAATTTTTCAAGGGATCCAGGGCATGAGAGTTAGAAGCGTGGAAATGGAGAAGAGAGCTCTAGGAGATGGTAGGCAGCAAATTTCTTCATGCTGCACTCATGCTCAAGAGATTTACAGTGAAGATTACAACTCAAACATGTTGAACCTGGCAGGACAACTGGAGGGTAGGCAGGGGAAGAATTACTTCAAAGTGCTGCAGAGGGGAAGGGAGAAGAAAATAGAGAGTAAATCTAGACTAGTTCAGAAGAAACACTTCTGAATGTGAAACTTCAGCCTGTAAAGTAGCTCTTGCTTTAGGCAACAAAAGTGGCACAAATGCACTCTACAAACCATTCTGTGCATTAAGAAGTCTAAGAAAGCAAACAGGTTTGAGGGCAAGAGTCTCTTAGAAAGTGGAATGCTGTGTGGTCATTAGAAGGAGAGCCACATTTTCTAGGTTTAAATGTCTCATAAGCTGCATTGTCAGAAGTGACAGACTTTTAAAAGTATATACAGAAAGCGTTGGGCATGTAACCCCTGGAAGCCTGAGATCAGAGTGCCTAATTTTACACAAGACTTTGAGGCTCTGTCCTCTAGGCACAGAGAAGCTCTTATAAATCATCTCATGTAGGCAGAACCAGAGCAAGATACTGCCCCTAGTGTAGCCACTACGGCTCCAAGAACTGAGTAAGCTTCTTGAGAGCATCATTTCACAGCTAAATGAATACCACAGCAGTAAGCTGTCGGTGCAAATACCTCAGGGCAGGTTTAAGCCTTCGCTAATACTCAAGCTGACAAGTATACGCAACCAAGCTGCTGTGTTTAGTGTCTGTGGAGCAGGCACATCAGTCTTACTGACTTCTGACTTACCCAGTTTGTCAGTATGCTGAATTTGCTTCCAAAGGCAGGACTTAAGATTTCTGCAGAAATAGGCAAAGTGTGTCCAGAAAAGTACTAAAACTACAAACCAAATAAACTAAACTGACTGCATGACTCAGTCACAGGCTAATTTAGTAGCTGAAATAAAATCTGGAAGTACATGGATACACCATGAATGGGAGGCCCTCAAGCAGCACCTCCAGTCAGATGCCCTTACTGATGGTTCAGGATTCCTAAGTAATTACTGTGTTTTCCAAGCACAACACAGTTCATCAACTACCAGGCCTGTCCTGCAGAGGAACACTGTGATACAGCAGTGTTTTTCCTCAGCATTCAGAAACCTGCAGCATTTATAAGGCAACAATATGTCTGCAACCATAAAATTAAAATCAGGGCAAAATATTTAAAGAGAGAAAAATGCACTTACTTTTCATGTTTCTGTGTGCCTATCCCCTTCTGAAAGTTTTCTTTGTAGAAACGCACTGAGGACACTATACAGCCTGACACCCAGTAGATCATGATATTGGTGAGCAGATCATCCAGGTTAAACTTCCTGAATAGGTAAGCCCAGAGATTGCTTAGTTAGAACTGAATATCGATTTGCATTATTTCAGTAGGGGCTTAACTTTGGTTTGGTGGCAAGACAAAAAGTTACAGGAAAAAGACCAATTAAGTTGGTTAAGAGTGGAGAGGTAAAGTGTCCAACTCCCCCTCCATCTGTCAGAGACCAATTACGGATGTTAAAGGCTTTCAGACACAAACTGGGAAGTGACATTTTAACTCCTACATGGAAGGCAGACTCCAACAAGCACCTTATGCTCCATCATAGCTGTCTATCCTTGCCGTAGACTGGGAGGGTGGGAGCAGAACAGCACATGGAACAGCTTGTGCCTTTTATTAATGATAATGCGAAATGCTACCGTGAGCCTGCAACAGAGCCACCACACACCAACATGTGCTGTAAACAGTGCATGTTTCATATATAATTATTAGTTGTATGAAGTGCAAACATTCTACTCAAATGGGCCTTTTCATAACGTGCCACTTCGCTCGATTCCTGCCAGGTAGTTCTCAAATGGGATTTCATCTTGGATTTCTGCTGCACGCTAAGAATGGTCCTGTATTAGCAAATGGTAGGTAGAGGAACCAAAACCAGTCAATCCGAAGCAAATTCATTGAGAGTTAATTGTTAGTATTAAAATAAATCCAGAGTTCTGTTTCCCAGCATCTTAATGTAAGTTAAACTTTCAGATTTTGTATCCTAATGAGATTCTTCCCCCTAAGTCAGGTTTTAATATCCAGAAGTTGCAGGGTGTATTTCTTTTCTAGGAGATCAAAGTGGGAAGGGAATACATCAGCCTCCATGGCCTATTTGCTTGTCTGCATGCTATAGTAGAGCCCTGCACCATCTGTGGTCATCACAAGCTCCCTGCCAGGCCATCAGACAAACCTCTTTAGCTATGACTCGGGGCTGAGTCATTTCATCCAAAATGGCGTAAGAGAAAAGGCTTACCTCTCTAGTCCTCCATCCTCTAAATTCTGGAATTCCAGATCAGTCCAGGAAGAAAACTTCTCCAGGATATATGCAGCCAGTCCTATAGGAGAGTCATTCAAACCACAGCCTGCAGAGGAAAAGGAAAAAAATTAACTGAAATTGTGATATCCAGCTACTGAACTCAGACTGTTATAGAAGCAGCTTGTTACAATACAGCAGATGTAACTTTACAAAGGTCTTCCAGCAGCTGTGTTCTTAAATAAATAAATAAAACATTGCAATGAGTTGGAACCACATAATCCTGAACCGATGTAACAGTACTGGATTTCTGCTGGCTTTTTTATTTTTTCTTGTAGGCTAATAAGATTAAGCTCTATGTGCCAAGTAGGGTTTGCTTCCATTAATCTGGAAGTTGTCATGTATTAAACAGTATTACAGAGGCAAACCCCACATGCTTACACATGACCAGGAGGATTTGCAGTATTACCTAACAGCAAAAACATTTTAAGGATTATTAGAAAGTCATTAAGGAAGAGCAAGACTTGACTAAAAGTCCATCTTCTGAACGAGCAATAACCAACTGCCTTCATGCAGAACAAGCCTTAATATAGTTTTTATAGGTTGTTTTGCTTGGAAAGAAAAAACTCACCTGCACCTGGAACTCTGCTCACACATCCTAGTGCTGTGAAATGCAGGGACCATAAACTGTCCCAGTTGCTCAGTAAAACCTAAGAAAAAGCTGTTCTCAAGGAACAGCAATATATTTGAAGTTCCACGCATGCAACTGAACCTTCCTAAAAGATGCCTAACACTGCAGCTGGCACAATTTCATCAGTAAGTGCTATTTAAACATGATCCTGAAACCTTAGTTATGAAACAACTAATATTGATAACTGAAATAGCAAGTGTTTGAAAAAGTTCTATTTAGCACGTGTTCAGATCTGCTGAACTAGAAAAGCCTGTGAGTAAAGAGGAGCACATCTGTTTAGATACAGGAAAAACTGACACTGATCCTAACACCACTCGGAATACAGGTGCTGCCTATTTCCCTCAGTTCAAAATGAACCCACTCTCCATGCAGGTTTCCCAAAGCGCTTCTTCCAGCAACCTCACATCTCCTTCTTCAGAGTGTTTTCCTCCTTACAGGAACCTGCCACTGCAGAGAATTCCCCTCTCCTTTGTCCTCAAAATTGCAGGAATGCTCCGGCTCCCAAAGCATGAACTGGTTGCCAGTTCCCAGTCCGCAGAGTCTGCTCTGACAGACCCCACACCACTGGTAGGGACAAGAATCAGCCAAAAAGGGAGCATGGCTGCCAGCTTCCCCCTCTTTCCTAAAGCACAACAGACTAGCAAGTTTTAGAAACCAAAACTCAGTGGAAGCAAAATTATTTTAAATCCGTAAAATTATCATTTTGCCTACACATTTTAAGAACATACCTGCCTCTATTAAGAAATATTTTCCTTAGCTATGTTTTTAATAAAATCCATGAGTGAATTGGTCCTGCACTGAACTAAAATGTAGTCAGTATTCTTGACTCAGTTGTCCAATTCAGTCACAAAAGATGTTTTTAAAATAGAAACACTTAATACCCAGATACTTAAAGCAGTTAAGCAATCTGAGTGACTAGCTCATCTAGAAAGAACATTCATAGCTACACTTTTTTTTTTTCCCCTTGAAAGTCTGCAAGTGATTCAGAACAATGAGTGAAAATGAAATTTGATTTTACTTCTCAGGTATTACTTATCCCTATAATAAATAAGTTACACTGTGTGCTGAGACAGCTAAAAGCTTCTCACAGTTTACATCATTTGAATGTGATCCATTCTCTGAGAAGAAACTCTCTTTTGCTCTCAGCCTAGCTGCATTTGAAATGGAATTACAGTCCCCAGTGGCAGCAGAAGTGGAAAAGTATTAAACAATCTATTTTATTTATGAAAACTAGAAATGAGGTCAGTGGCACTTAGAGCATGCTCAGTTCTGATGTGCAGACACACTGCTGCTGCAGGTAGGAGTGTAATGCTATATACCCATAGGTAACCCTTTCTGACTTGGATAAAGAAAAGGAGCCCACCTTTTAAAACCTTCAACCTTCCCACTTCAAAGGAAGAAGAAAAATATTTTCTGCAGATTTTAAGCAGGACACTCTGTTTCTACAGAAGTACAGCTAAAACGAACAGGCTGAGAATTCGGAGCTCAAAAGGTAGGGGTTTGGCTTGTTTGTTTTACCAACAGTATCCGGCTTTGTAGCCTGTATGTGAGCATAGCCAGACTCCACCAGGATCCTGTAGAGCCCTTTTTTCAAGAAGGGGAACATCCTTCTGACGTCTTCCTCCTGGAAACCGAAGAGCCCAGGAAAGTGGCGGCCCAGCAGAACGGAGAGCAGGTGAGTGAATCCCACCTTCGTAACCGAGGCTAGATTTAAATGGAGACCTTTCACGTGGCTAAAAATAACAACAGAAGAAGCCCCACAAATTAATGAAAATAAAACGAGATTCAAAGTTGTTACATTTAGAATCAGAGAATCATAGAATATCCCGACTTGGAAGGGACCCACAAGGATCACTCAAGTCCAACTCCTGGCCTTGCACAGGACAATGCCAAAAAAATCACACTATGTGCCTGACAGCGTTGTCCAAATGTTGCTTGAACTCTGGCAGGCTTGGTGCTGTGACCACTAACATTTAAAATGTTATTAACAAAAATGCATGCCCTTAAATTCCACCCTGCTAATTACATCATGACCTCAGCTGTACTTTCCAGTGTGGCTTTTCACACAAAAGGGACAACAGTCAGTAATCAGCACACACTCCTGGGCACTAAGCCACAGATCCTCCTTTCTTTTTTTCTTTTTTCCTAACAAGTACTTATCCCACTCCAGACCTCAGCAGGACTATTACAAAACTACTGCACAACTGTCTGAAAGAACAGGTATACAATATAAACTAAGGTATGTAATTTTTTTATCACTGCTTAACGCTGAGCAGCAAAGAGAGAAATTACAGACTGCTCACATGAGGACTTGGACAAGAACTTACAAGTGCACAAGAAATAACTACTCACAGAATAAAACAGCTCTGCAGTGCTCTACCAAAGGGGTACTCACTTGGGAGCCATCTGGGCCAGGTTGGTGCAGATGAGCCAGCCCCAATCACCACCTTGGGCATAGAACTCATTGAATCCCAGTCTGAGCATCAATTCATAGAAAACAGAAGCAGCACTTACAGAATTAAAGTCTGCATTAAAAGAAAAGAACACTGCTGTATTAATTCCATCTACACTTCTGACCCTGCAGCATTTACTCTCCACATAAAGGCAACAGTCAAGTTCCTAAAAAGCTGCAAGTCCATTTCTCCTTGCCTGCCTGACAGACCATATGAAAGCCTTTGCACATCATCTGGGCAAGGTCTAGAGAGCAAGCAGAAAGGACCAAGTCCAACCTTTGTTGCAGACGAGTGTTCTTCTAATCCCACCACTTGCCCATGCACTCACCCCACCAAGGGGTTGCCAGACTCCCTTTAAATTAAACTGTGGTCATGCTCCAGCTGAGCCCCATCAGAGGCACAGAGCATTGCCCAGGGAGTGTGCTTCTATTTTGCCTACTGTGAGCACACTCACATCTTTACGATAGTTGGAAACTCTAAGTTTCCGCTAGTAATGCAGTTCTCCACTTCACTAGACACTGACAACATAAACTGTAAACACAGAAGTAGAGAAAAGCAAAACCAACCTTCCCCACATCGTTCACCCGCACACATAATTAAAGACTAAACTCAGTATGACTTTAAATACTACCCTGCTTCAATTTGATGCAGCTCATGTTTGTATAATTGAAAGCACAAGCTGAACGAGCAGGCTGCAATCTGCCTGTAGATAATATGAACTGATTTGTTTCAACTGTTGCTTCTCACCTACCTGTGTAATGCTGTCGAATATGGATTCAAAACCCCCAAGAGGAAGAGTAATAAATTACATTTACTCTGCCGGCTCACTCACAGACAATTCTCGGACTCAATTACAATTCCTGAGTTGTCGTTTCATAGCTTTTTATAGTTCTTTTAAAATTATCTACATGTTGCTCCAGAAACAACTCAATGATGTCACGCAAAGTCACCCTCTTATCTCCCTCATCCCACATGACACACAGGATCTCTGTTTCTACACTGGGAAAACAAGAAGTGTGTAAGAGGAGTTACTGTGCTGCCAGCAGGGGCTATCTCACTGTGAGACTGTGGGTTTGTGGCAGCTCAGTTCCTTCTCATGCATCATACCTTTTTTGTGAGGTGCTTCTGAGAAACCATAACCAGGGATAGATGGGCAAATGACTTCAAAAATGTGTTCGTCACTGAGGCCATGGCTTGCAGGATCCGTCAGGAGAGGAATAATTTTGTAAAACTCGTAAAATGAGCCAGGCCAACCATGAACCATTAATAATGGCTTTGCAGACTGGCCTTCAGGCAAGCGAGGAGGCTTTACATGAACAAAATGGACATCAATGCCTGTAAAAATAAAATTATTAATTAGCATCTCAAATTTACCATGGTATTGAAACCATTCAAAGAAGAGATTAAGAATAAAGCATTTCTGAAGTCCTTTTTTTTGGTGGGGATGCAAACACACTGCACTTCTCTGGATACATTTATCCAAGGACCTTAAAGTACTTTATAATGGGCAACTAAGCATCGCAGCAGCCAAATGAGGTTGGTGTATTTCTGCTTTAAAATAAATTGGCAAATTAAGACATATAAGTGAAGCAATCTACTAACGGTAACACAGTGACTCACACAGCTTAAAGGCAGAAGAGACGATTACATCATTTCGTCCAAGTGCCCTTAAATTTTACCCAAATGTCCCTATATGGCATGGGATAGGCTCCAGTGAACCACAGATTTTTCTTCCTGAAGGCATAAATTGCAACTCGAAGGCACCAAGAGATAGGGAATCCATCTCAACTAGCAGCTGTTTGTTTGGGGGTGTTAATCACTTCCCTCGTTTTGTGCAAGCCTTACTTCCCACTTGAACATGTCTGGCTTCTGTCTCCAGCCACTGATCCTAAATGTTACAGCAAAAGGAATTTAAACAGCCTTCAGTAAGTATTCTCTGTCTATGGAGGCCTCCTGTAATCAATCCACACCACTGCTGATAAACTAATCATGCCAAATCAAGGATTTGACAAAATGCCTTGCTAAAAGGGAGTTAATTTTTGTAGTTCTTTTCTACCTTTAGTCCAAAGCTTTCAGTATCTCTAAGTGTGTGAACTGTGACAGGAGATTATGTTCTAGTAGCAGTCTCCTCCTTGTTGAGTAAAAAGGTAGCAATTGCAGTCCTGTTTCCTCTATGATCCTTTCTCTGTGTAAGCAGTAGCCTTCACACAGCACTGCACTCTGTGCTTCAGGTGAGCTGCTCTTCCTAAAACCCCATTCAGGGCTTTGCTTTCCAAGAAACAGCAATTTGCTTGATATATTTAAGCACATTTTACTCACATCAACTCCAGCTCACAAGTGATCCCACCTTCTTTCACTGACTGAGATTTCCCCATCCTTGACAATTCTGTGAATCTCTGTATTCTCTGAAAAACTTTCAAGTGATGACAGAAGGTAGGAATCTGATATACAGCAAGTTTGACCTTGTCTTTTCACGTCTCCTCTCTGTAATCTTTCCTAACACTGAAACTGCTCTTCCCATTGCTATACATAGCGCATTGTCCTTAGCTGCTTCTCCCTTTCTTGTCTCAGATATTTTTTTTCTTTTTTAAGTGAAGACCTTTTTGGTTATATCTTTTTTAGCAGTAATAAAAGCTTTATGATCTAACCATTTATTGTCCCAAATCCATTTTAAATATTATGGCAAACTGCACCATTTGAAATAACATACAAAATTACGGGTCCAAAAGCATACTCTTAAGCTTGAATTTTGCCATCATGTGAGACAATTGCTGCTGTGCTCTAGATCTACAGTTGCACTCCCAAATGACCCAAGCACAACCCTAAATCAACCACCTTAAAACGTCCAGTTTGACCAAGCTCCAGCACCAGCAGACCTTACCTGAATGACCTCTTCCAACACGTGTGCACGCTCTGAATGAAAAGAAAAACCACCCTCTTGCACCTGGCAGCACATCAACCCCAAGGGAAAGGCATCCTTAATTCCTAGTCCTACGAATGCCTGAAATGGTGCAGCAGAGCACATCTGTCCTGCCAAGTGGGGACAAACCTGAGTGGCCAGCACACCCTGCTGAGGAGGCTGCCAGGCTGAAGGCATCGCTGTGACAGCGGCAGCTGGGGAACTACACGGAGCACGAGAAGACATCTGCAGGTGTTTTTGCATGACTGCATGCAAGTCAGGGAACATGTGTACGTCTTAAGATCCAGTTCTGTTTCCAAATGCCCATGCTTGGCTCCTGTTAACACCAGCTGACAACCCACTCATGCACAGGGAATTCCATTTGTCATTCCCTATCCTAAAGGCTTCAGTTACAATGAAGGAATTTCTTGCTGCTTCAGCAGTGATGCCAATAATCCATGCTAGGAAGGCCCATCCCACACAACCAGAGCATTCTCACCACCATGATCCCTTGCAGATAAGATTAAGTATTACTGTTTACTTTTTAAGGGGAAAAGCTACACACCTTGAATCTTTGTTTTGAAATGTGGATACTTGTTGAGGACTTCAACTTGTTTCTTCCAATTGAACTGGTTTTTCCAGTAGGAGACAACCTTCCTGAGATACACTGAGTTAATCCCATAATGGAAGCAACTGTTCTCCAGTGGCTCAGTGAACCGAGCCTGGTCAAGTCTCCTAAATAAGTCCTACAGGGAAAAAGAAAGAGACATTAAAACACTTGTGTCTGCTGTCTTGGGCTCTCCTGTGCGCAGCTTCTAGTTATTCCCAAGCAAAATGAGAACAATGAAAATAACATCTCTAATTAAACACCTGTGCCTTTTGCTGATGCTCCATCAGCTGTTCCAATTCTTTTCCTCCTCCAGATGGCCTCCTTCCTCTTCCATTTACAGCTGTTCTTAGCACTCTGTCTTTGTTCTGCAGGGCTGAATAACCTGTTTGCCAGGCTGATAACCACAGAGGACAATATGCTCTGCTGACACTACTTTGGCTTCCCAGTTTAAGTCTTGTTGCCTTTCCAGGGTACTTTGTTCCCTAGGTCACCTGTGAGCCCAACCTCACAATCAAGGCATGGGTCTGGCCCAAACCCTTTTTTTTCCTTCCCAAATCAAGGGGCAGGATGTCTTCATTGGGAAACAATCTGAGGGATTTTGCATGGCCACAGAGCTGGTGAAATTAGACTGAAATTAAAGTTTCCCAGTCTAGAATAACTATCAAAGTGACCTTCCCACTGCACTTCAAAGTTTTAGAGGATGCTGATGCAACGATACTGCAAAATGAGTCCAAAATCACTCCGCAGGGAAGGACAGCCCAGAGCCCCTTCCTACTGCAAACAGAGTAGTTGAGGGTGGAAGGCAGGTCTGGAAATCTAATGCTGCTCAAACCTCTGTGGGGTTTAATCCAGAAGAGCATTTTCCAATAGAGCAACAGAGATAGCTCCCACTCTGACTACGATGAGTTAAGTGTAAGGACTGGCTCACGCCTCACTGATCAGGCAGTCTCAGCCTAGGCAAGATGTCAGAACATGAACTCATTGTTTTGAAATCCATGTACACAAAGCATGGATTTCTAAACAGAGTTCTAAATGTGTTTTTACATACATGCTTTTTGTCTAAGTAAACACCTTTTAAAATGTTTTAGGAACATGCACTCGCAAAACCGTAACTCCTAGTTTATATTTAAAAGAGTTTTCTACTGATGGATTATGTTGCAAGAGCTGTCACAATACAGAATGGCACATTTCAAAAATATTTGAGTGTTAGAAATTATCTGCAGTGTAAGGGGAAAACAGAATGGAGATCAATGTCCATTGATATCACTATGAAGGGCAAGCAAAGTGTTAAAAAATCCAGGACTTGCTGAGAAATTAGGAAGCTATTACAACTGAATAATATGAGCAATCCCATGAGTATTGTTTAAACCAGGACTCCACACAGATCTATGAAATTGTTCAATCCCTGGCTTAAACACACACAATCAAAATCTTTCTATCCAACAAATTCTGCAACGTATGTGTTTACTGTAATTACCGCAGTAATTTAGTGTTGACCAAAGTAGACCATTAATTACAGAAGAATCATCATCCAACACAGCTGCAAACATAAAGCAGTCAAGAAAATGAGGTATTCATAATTGCTTTGGAAAGAAAGAAAGACAAAAAAAAGACATTGTTCTTATTCTCATCTACACAAACTGAACAAAGTGCACAAACAGAAAAACAGAGTTGAGTAATCTCTAATATGATTTTTATGTTTATTAGGCTTTGCAGAGTAGGTTTATTTACTAGCAATCTTGCAATACTAGCAATCTTGCAACAGCCAGCTGAGAACAGAATTGTACAGCAGTGTATAAAATCTGCCTATCCATACCTATCTTCTGAAGTACCGAAGTCCCTTCCCCCAAGACCTGGACATCATTGCTCATTCTCACAAGTGTAACTATTGGTTCAATTTAAAAATTACTTCTAAGCAAGTTCTGCATTTATCTGGCCATTTCTTATTTCTCTCTCCCCAGTCCAGAGATTTGCTTACGCTCAGCTCTTCTTCTGTAGTCTCCACCTTAAATGGCCGAATAGTTGTATCTTCTTTAGTGTCAGGTTTTTGTCCCTTGCCCCACCATCCATCTTTGAAGGGCAGTGTCTCTTCTTTCTTCTTGGAAAATAAGAAGTAGATAATGACCGTCCCCAGAACCAGGAATACTTCAAGCAGCATAATGCCTGCAAGAGAAGAATAGAACTTGGGTAAACCTAACAGAGACACACACATACTTTGTAAAGACTATAGAGGGTTATTCCCTTTTTAGACAAGATTCCATCTACATGATGTTCTGTCACTCACAGTGTATCAACACTTCTGCAAAATTTCAGAAATAGAATGCTTTAACCTACGCAACTCAAGTGCGGAAGAATTGTTTTAAATAAAAGACACATAACAAAATCAGAGCTCAAAGCAAGTCAAGAGATGGCTTAGTAATTAAATAGTTCACTGATAAAATATACCACATTGGCTTCCTCAGTGGTCCACAATCACAGTTAAGCTTCAACAGTAAAGGAGGTTTAATGCTTTCTCTTCCTCTGAACTTCTATACTTCCCACAGCTTCAAATGCAGAGTATCTCTTCAGTAAGGCTTATATATCTACTGCTATAAATCTGTGGGGAAAGAAAAACAAGATATATGTACAGAATAAAAAGTGAAGAGCATGAAGGCAGCCACCTTGCACCTCCCACTCAGCCTGGGAGAGTGGGGCAGGGATATATTTGCATAACCCTTGAACACCAGTGCAAAGGGTAACAGGACCTTCCCTTTCTTTCTTTCTTCCTCTGAACTGTTTTTTAAAGAGAAAACCACATGCATGCTCTCCCCATATGCATGCTCTCCTGGCTCTAGAATACGATCACTTCCCCAAGTAATAAAATTCTGTCAAAGTGAAGAACAACCTGATTTCACAGCACATCTGCATAACCCAGCTGCAGGGCTATTGTGCTTCAGTCACACAGAACACCTTAGCAGGAAAAAAAAAATCCATTTTAAATATATTTGAACTGGTTTATGCTGCAAGTAGAAAAAAAATATTCAGACTCTTCAATAATTAATGTTTTCAAGCATGCCTTTAAGTATAAGAAACGTTTATAAAGTGGTTTGGGGAACAGTACTGTCATCATTTTGATGCATAATTTTAAAGAATGTTGTGTTTTGAACACTCATTTGCTGGGGAATTGCTAAGACATGAAGTATTTCAAAACTTCTGTAGGGCAAGGATTTTTTATGACCCAGAACTTCTTCGTTCTCTCTAGAGCCAGAAGGTTTTGTTGGTTTTACTGCTGCAGAGTAATTTGATGCTCTGAAATGGCTCAAAGAGTCATCAAGAATGCACCAAATTTATTCCTGGATCAAAACAGGAATTTTAACACAAGTTAATGGGAGTTCGCAGGATTAACGCAGGAATGAAGCTGACCTGTGTGGTAAGTGCCTTTATTGTGACAGGACACATTTTAGTCAACTTCTTGACTTTAATTTTCTTATGGCTGACAATAAATTAATAAATGGTCAAAATCAGTGCCCACTAAAACATCTGTACAGAAGTCAGGAACGATGCAGATAGGACAGCAAGCTACAGAAAAATCTATTGCTTACATATTCAAGTGCTTCACCCTTGAAAAGTGCCTGAATCCTCAGAGGCTGGAGCTATTGGGAACGATGGGCACTGAGAAAACTTGATGTTTATTTGTTTCACTGGTGCTTGGTTTTCTTCACAATGTTCTCTGGAGCACAAGACAACACTCTTTTCCCACTTCTACCATACTCAGGCTGTAACTTGCCCCAGAATAAAAAAGTTTATCCAATTTCAGCTTGCCTCAGCACATAAACCAATGTAGTCTAGGAGCATCCTGAGCACAATTAAATTTTACTGCAAAGGACAGCTGAAGGGGCTTCTAGAAACATCAAAGCGCTTCACATAGAAATGATACCTTCTACAGTATTTAATGACATTTCTACTCCTAAGTTTTCACAGGGAAGAACAGCAACTTCCCTGAAATCACAACAGAACTCAGGCCATGTCTAAACTACAAAGGTTCACCAGCATAACTATGTAAACACCACACAGAAAAATTCAAACTCTTGGCCAACTTCAATATGTTTACAAAGCCCCGCAACAAACAAAAAAGCTGCTGTGAGAGCCAGCCCTGTTGTTCAGGCAGAATGGTTGGGGTACCTAGAAAAACAGAGGACTCTTTCTCCTGTTTTATGCTGTATCAGCACCGTGGCCTCTGCCAACACAGTGACAGAGGCACAGCACCTAATACAGAACTGCCCAAGAACCAAGAATCTCAGCCCATCCTCTAGCAAGGAACTCGCATGTCCTAAGTCACCAGAGTCTCCAGAGCTACAAAAACATTTCTGCTTCCCCCATCTGCTCTCAAGGAGACTTGAGAAACCAGAATTTTTGCAGCAGAAGATATGGGAGGAATTGCATGCGAATATGCTTATTTTGCATTCACCCCGGACCTTGTGCGGAAAGAATTCGCTGTGTGAACAGACACCCATTTTTGCAATTAATTCCAAACAGACTTGAGGATGAGCTTGTTTACAAACCAGCACCGAGTGCCAAAATCATCTTCAGGTCTCACAACAATTCTGTCTCCTATTGCAGAGAATCGGGACTGGTGACAAATTGATTTGCATGAGACATCATTTTGACTTGAAGAAGCTGCCTCTGATACTGGTTGGATTTTTTTCTGCTAACAGAGAGACCCTCTATATTCAACCTCACTTCCCTTGAAAGCGCCTGTAAAATTCCTGATTACAACAAACACAGGGGCCTAGAGCTCCAACTATGCTACATTTTTTTCTGAGTGCACAGGAAGAAAAGGGCAAAGTGCGTCAGCAATATTTTGACTTGCACCAGTTCACAGCACACTCAAAGGGATTGTTTTGCTGGTGATGAGTTGCTGGAACGCAGCATGTTCCTACCAAACGCTCCAGCCTGTGCTGAGAGGAGACCACTTAGAGCAAATGCACTCAGTGATTTCCCAAGTCTGCTATTCAAGCTGGTTCTCTAAAACTCCTGTGTGTGTTATTTGAACAGAATAAAGCATCCTCAGTCGTGACGCATCTGCACCAGAATTTCCTCCGCTAATCACTACTGAGATCTGTTGTGAAATGGAAGTTATTAGCTCCTTACACTCATTCTATGGTGCAGCAACACAGCAGCAACCACAAATGTGGAAGGACAAACAGGTACAATAACACTTTTCTATACTCACAGTTTTCAGAGACACCAACAACAAAGTGCTGGTGTTTTTATTGTCTGAAGTCTCTTCATGCAACCACACTGGCATGTTGCCTTCACAACTGAGTACTTCAAAGGGAGTTCATGTTTTGGTTTGGCTTTTTCCTCTTTTTATGCAACCAAAGGCAAGACCTTAGAACAAAATATTTCCATTTATTCCATGGTCAAGTACTTAGGCTCTGAGACTTTGCTGTACCCCAAGGTGGATATTGTTTATAGACAGCACTTAAATACCTTAGACAGTACTTTTATCCTAAAGAGTTCAAGGAAGAATGCTTTTGGTTTGCTGCTTTAAAAACATGTTTTGAAAGAAAAATGTTGAAATGCAAGGGGCCCAGTAAACAGCCTAAAAACTAGCTCCTCTTGAAGCAGGCCAAGTGCATCTCAAGAAACGTATTTGCAAGAAAGCCCCTAAACTTCTTTACAGTAAAGATATTGCTCCCTCTTGAAAACACTCTTGGTTTTCAGCTCTTTTTTTGCATTTGGATTTGCACTGTCCTCTGTTCGTGCATTAACAGCAGAGCTAAGAGCTCCACAGAACAGAGCAATTATTATTTACATCAAAGGTATGTCCCGTCTCATGCTTTGTCTTCATCAGTGCCCAGCAGCAGATGCCCCAGAGAACAATGCTATTTATCTTTGGAGATGTCATCTCTGAAATAGGTTAACGGCAAAATCCCCATCTCATCCTACCAGTAACCATCCATCTTTGCCTTGCAGCATTAGAATACATCTGAAACATGTTACTGGAGAAATATGCAACTGTGCAGACTTTCAACCTAACGCTGGAAACCCATTTTGCAACCCAGCTACCACAGCCTGAATGATGCACAAAACCCACAGCTCCGAGCGGTGCTATCAAACCCCATCAATGCAAAACTGCTGGGGCGTGGGTGAAGCAAAAGACACCATGAGAGAGACCATGCTGCTTCCAGACACATGCCAGGGGTAATCACAGCTTAAGGTTAATAACATTTTTCTCTCCAGGGTTGGTTTACTAGCAGACTGCAAGGTAGCTCAGAGCACTTGGCATGCTCTGATCCTGTCAGACGCAAGGTTTATCGATTAATAATTACTCTGCAGGAGAAATAACAGCTCAATTTAGAAGGGATGTTTATTTTAGTTCTGTTACATGCAGTCCCCCGTTAGGTTTTACCAAAAAGGCAACCCTTTGCTGCAGCGTCTTTGTTTACGCATCAGTTTGCCTGAAGAGCAGCAGTTGCAGGTTACTCTTCCCAAGAGACCTGAAGGAAAAACAACCCACTGAAGGACTTCAAGAGTTCGTGGCACCTGTAACAGGGTGCCTCAGCACTGACAGCTTGAAAGGGACTAACACATGGCACAGGCCCTAAAGCTTCACCCTCAGTCTACCTGCTCCCATCTCCAGGCATCACATTTTTGTCATTATGTAGCACCAGAAACAGACAGAAAATCATCGAGTCAAGACACTTGTATGAGAAAAGCTTACTATTTCTGTAGTTTATGGAGCATTATGACAAGCTTCAAAATAGCTTAGCAACACAGAAATTGCTTTGCATACAACTGATAACATCTCCCAGGTGAGCATAAAACGATACATTAACACTGGAGGAAAGGAGGAGAGGTAGGCATCAGATGAAATAAAGCATCCTACGCAGGGAAGTGAATCAAAGACAGGAAGTACAAATCCAACAGAGTTTCTGCCTTGTCTTGAAAAGAAATTTAGCATTTACATTTTTTATTGCCATAGGGAGGTGGCACACAATGCTATCTCCAAAACAGCAGGAAGAGATGATATCATTCTATTTTACAGTCTTTTTCTAGACCGTTCACAATCAGAAATTAGCCAGTACAGCAGGAACCTAATCCAAAGGCTACAAGCAAGGAATGAGGTCACCTCCCCAAGGCAAGGGAAACCACAGTCTCTCAGGCCTCTCCCAGGACAG